TCTATAGTAACCCTTCCTCCTAACCCTTAGTAACTCTTCCTCTATAGTAACCTTCCTCTATAGTAACCCTTCCTCTATAGTAACCCTTCCTCTATAGTAACCCTTCCTCTATAGTAACCCTTCCTCTATAGTAACCCTTCCTCTATAGTAACTCTTCCTCTATAGTAACCCTTCCTCTATAGTAACCCTTCCTCTATAGTAACTCTTCCTCTATAGTAACTCTTCCTCTATAGTAACCTTCCCCTTCCTCTATAGTAACCCTTCCTCTATAGTAACCCTTCCTCTATAGTAACCCTTCCTCTATAGTAACCCTTCCTCTATAGTAACTCTTCCTCTATAGTAACCCTTCCTCTATAGTAACTCTCCCTCTATAGTAACCCTTCCTCTATAGTAACTCTTCCTCTATAGTAACCCTTCCTCTATAGTAACCCTTCCTCTATAGTAACCCTTCCTCTATAGTAACTCCTCCTCTATAGTAACTCTCCCTCTATAGTAACTCTTCCTCTATAGTCCCTTTCCCTTCCTCTATAGTAACCTCTCCCTCTATAGTAACCCTTCCTCTATAGTAACCCTTCCTCTATAGTAACTCTTCCTCTATAGTAACTCTTCCTCTATAGTAACTCTTCCTCTATAGTAACCCTTCCTCTATAGTAACCCTTCCTCTATAGTAACTCTTCCTCTATAGTAACCCTTCCTCTATAGTAACCCTTCCTCTATAGTAACCCTTCCTCTATAGTAACCCTTCCTCTATAGTAACTCCTCCTCTATAGTAACCCTTCCTCTATAGTAACTCTTCCTCTATAGTACCCTTCCTCTATTCCTCTATAGTAACCCTTCCTCTATAGTAACTCTTCCTCTCTATAGTAACCCTTCCTCTATAGTAACTCTTCCTCTATAGTAACCCTTCCTCTATAGTAACCCTTTCCTCTATAGTAACTCTTCCTCTATAGTAACCCTTCCTCTATAGTAACCCTTCCTCTATAGTAACCCTTCCTCTATAGTAACACTTCCTCTATAGTAACTCCTCCTCTATAGTAACCTTCCTCTATTAACCCCTCTATAGTAACCCTTCCTCTATAGTAAACCCTTCCTCTATATAACTCTTCCTCTATAACCCTTCCTCTATAGTAACTCTTCCTCTATAGTAACCCTTCCTCTATAGTAACTCTTCCTCTATAGTAACTCTCCTCTATAGTAACCCTTCCTCTATAGTAACTCCTTCCTCTATAGTAACCCTTCCTCTATAGTAACCCTTCCTCTATAGTAACTCTTCCTCTTCCTCTATAGTAACTCTTCCTCTATAGTAACCCTTCCTCTATAGTAACCCTCTTCCTCTATAGTAACTCTTCCTCTATAGTAACCCTTCCTCTATAGTAACCCTCCTCTATAGTAACCCTTCCTCTATAGTAACCCTTCCTCTATAGTAACCTCTCTCCTCTATAGTAACCCTTCCTCTATAGTAACTCTTCCTCTATAGTAAACCTCCCCTATAGTAACCCTCCTCTATAGTAACCCTTCCTCTATAGTAACTCTCCCTCTATAGTAACCCTTCCTCTATAGTAACCCTTCCTCTATAGTAACTCTCCCTCTATAGTAAACCCTTCCCTCTATAGTAACTCCTCCTCTATAGTAACTCCTTCCTCTATAGTAACCCTTCCTCTATAGTAACCCTTCCTCTATAGTAACCCTTCCTCTATAGTAACTCTTCCTCTATAGTAACCCTTCCTCCTCTATAGTAACCCTTCCTCTATAGTAACCCTTCCTCTATAGTAACTCTTCCTCTATAGTAACCCTTCCTCTATAGTAACCTCCCTCTATAGTAACCCTTCCTCTATAGTAACCCTTCCTCTATAGTAACCCTCCCTCTATAGTAACCCTTCCTCTATAGTAACCCTTCCTCTATAGTAACCTTCCTCTATAGTAACCCTTCCTCTATAGTAACCCTTCCTCTATAGTAACCCTTCCTCTATAGTAACCCTTCCTCTATAGTAACTCTCCCTCTATAGTAACCCCTCCTCTATAGTAACTCTTCCTCTATAGTAACCCTTCCTCTATAGTAACTCCTCCTCTATAGTAACTCCTCCTCTATAGTAACCCTTCCTCTATAGTAACTCCTCCTCTATAGTAACCCTTCCTCTATAGTAAGTCTTCCTCTATAGTAACCCTTCCTCTATAGTAACTCCTCCTCTATAGTAACTCTTCCTCTATAGTAACTCTTCCTCTATAGTAACCCTTCCTCTATAGTAACTCTTCCTCTATAGTAACCCTTCCTCTATAGTAACTCTTCCTCTATAGTAACCCTTCCTCTATAGTAACTCCTTCCTCTATAGTAACCCTTCCTCTATAGTAAACTCTTCCTCTATAGTAACCCTTCCTCTATAGTAACCTCCTCTATAGTAACTCTTCCTCTATAGTAACCCTTCCTCTATAGTAACTCTTCCTCTATAGTAACCCTTCCTCTATAGTAACTCTTCCTCTATAGTAACCCTTCCTCTATAGTAACCCTTCCTCTATAGTAACCCTTCCTCTATAGTAACCCTTCCTCTATAGTAAACCCTTCCTCTATAGTAACCCTTCCTCTATAGTAAACCCTTCCTCTATAGTAACCCTTCCTCTATAGTAACCTTCCTCTATAGTAACCCTTCCTCTATAGTAACCCTTCCTCTATAGTAACCCTTCCTCTATAGTAACCCTTCCTCTATAGTAACCCTTCCTCTATAGTAACCCTTCCTCTATAGTAACCCTTCCTCTATAGTAACTCTCCTCTATAGTAAACTCTTCCTCTATAGTAACTCCTTCCTCTATAGTAACCCTTCCTCTATAGTAACCTTCCTCTATAGTAACCCTTCTTCCTCTCTATAGTAACCCTCCTCTATAGTAACCCTTCCTCTATAGTAACTCTTCCTCTATAGTAACTCTCCCTCTATAGTAACCCTTCCTCTATAAGTAACTCCTTCCTCTATAGTAACCCTTCCTCTATAGTAATCTCCTTCCTCTATAGTAACTCTTCCTCTATAGTAAGATGGGGCACTATAGTTAATCCTCCCCCCACGCGACCCCTTTGGGGGGCACAACGCCACCCCCCACTGCTACTACATCGATGAAAAACACATTCCTCCCCCGACTGACTTAGGAACCGGGACCTCGCTCCTCTGCCGCCGCAACAATTCCTTCTCCAGTAAACTGGTCATCCAAGGTGTGGGCATGACATGCCTCCCCTGTCACTGGACAACCTGGAGATCAATTCCTCCCTGTGATTGGCCACCAAGTGATGGGGCACAATGTCCTCAGGCATCACCCAAGGATGGCGGCCATATTCCTCCGGCAAGGAGGTGGGAGCACCAAGGATGGGGCGATATTCCGCGAAGATCGAGCGACTGACACCAAGGATGGGGCATATTCGGTCCCGGGTAGGAAGACACCTGACAATGATGGGGCACTATTCCTCCACTGAACACCAAGGGAGGGGGCGACTAAGCCCAGTGGGAGCAGGGCAGTGACCCAATGACAAGGTAACTAACTCCACTCAGATACCAATAGATGGGCCCTATTCCTGTCACTGATACCAATGATGGGGCACTATTCCTCCCACTGACACAATGGGGACGATGGGGCACTATTCCTCCCCCACTGACACCAATGATGGGGCACTATTCCTCCCACAATGACACCAATGATGGGGGGCACTAATTCCTCCCCCCACTGACACCAATGATGGGGCACTATTCCCCCCCCCACTGACACCAATGATGGGGCACTTTAACCTCCCCCCACTGACACCTCCCTGATGGGGCACAATTCCTCCCCCCACTGACACAACCAACGATGGGGCACTATTCCTCCCATGACTACCAATGATGGGGCACTATTTCCCCTCCCCACTGACACCAACATGTTGGGGCACTATTTCCCCACTGTAAACACCATGACTGAGGGATACACAAGGTTGGGGCACTATTCCTCCCCCCACTGACACCAATGATGGGGCACTCTTCCTATGATCATTATAACTCCTCCCCACTGAACCAATGATGGGGCACTATTCCTAACTGACACCAATGACGGGGCACTATTCCTCCCACTGACACCAATGACGGGGCACTATTCCTCCACTGACACCAATTCGGGGCACTATTCCTCCCACTGACACCAATGACGGGGACTATTCCTCCCCTGATACCAATGACGGGGCACTATTCCTCCCTGACACCCAATGAGGGGGCACTATTAACTCTTCCACTGACACCAATGAGGGGGCACTATTCCTCCCACTGATACCAATGATGGGGCACTATTCCTCCACTGACACCAATGATGGGGCATATTCCCTTCACTGACTACCAATGATGGGCACTATTTCCTCTGACACCAATGAAGGGGAGGCACTAATTCCTCCCTGACACCAATGATGGGGCACTATTCCTCCCACTGATACCAATGAAACTCTTCCTCACTGACACCAATGAGGGGGCACTATTCCTCCATGACACCAATGACGGGGCACTATTCCTTCCACTGACACCAATGAATGGGGCACTATTCCTCCCACTGACACCAATGAAGTAACTCTCCTCTATATGGATGGGGCACTTATTCCTCCCCACTGACACCAATGACGTTGGCACTATTCCTCCACTGACCACCAATGACGTGGCACTATTCCTCCCCAATGTACACCAATCCTCTATGACGGGGCACTATTCCTCCCACTGACACCAATGACGGGGCACTATTCCTTCCCACTGACCCCTATAGTGGGGCACTATTCCTCCCAAGAACCAATGATGGGGCACTATAGATCACTATTCCCCACTGACTCCCAACCAATGATGGGGCACTATTCCTCCACTGACACCAATGATGGGGCACTATTCCTCCCACTGGACACCAATGACGGGGCACTATTCCTCCCACTGACACCAATGACAAAGGGGCACTATTCCTCCCACTGACACCAAGGACGGGGGCACTATTCCTCCCACTGACCCAATGATGGGGCACTATTCCTCCCACTGACACCAAAGAGGGGGCACTAACCTCCCACTGACACCAATGAATCGGGGCACTATTCCTCCACTATACATGTGATAACTATTCTCCACCTGATGGGGCACTATTCCTCCCACTGACAGTAACCTTCCACTGACACCCCAATGATGGGGCACTATTCCTCCACTGACACCAATGATGGGGCACTATTCCTCCCTCTGACACCAATGATGGGGCACTATTTCCTCTATCACTGCTCTAATTCCCTTGACCTCAATGATGGGGCACTATTCCTCCCACTGACACCAATGACGTAGGCACTACTCCCTCAATAACTGAAGGCAACCCTCCTCTGTAAAATTACAGTTATGAAGTAGCAACGAAAAATAATTTTATGGGTTGGGGGTCACCACAACATGAGGAACTGAAGGGGTCGCGGCGTTAGAAAGGTTGAGAACCACTGCTCTATAGTAACTCCTCCTCTATAGTAACCCTTCCTCTATAGTAAGCCCTCACCTCCTACTCTATAGTAGCCCTCCCTCTATAGTAGCCCTCCCTCTATAGTACCCCTCCCTCTATAGTAGCCCTCCCTCTATAGTACCCCTCCCTCTATAGTAGCCCTCCCCTCTATAGTACCCTCTCCCTCTATAGTACCCCTCCCTCTATAGTAGCCCTCCCTCTATAGTAGCCCTTCCTCTATAGTAGCCCTCCCTCTATAGTAGCCCTCCCTCTATAGTAGCCCTCCCTCTATAGTAGCCCTCCCTCTATAGTACCCCTCCCTCTATAGTAGCCCCTCCCTCTATAGTAGCCCTCCCTCTATAGTAACCCTCCATCTATAGTACCCCTCCCTCTATAGTAGCCCTCCGTCTATAGTAGCCCCTGTAGGTTGCGTATCCCTGCCTGCTGTACTCTGTGCTGTGCGTTGCCTCCATGTAACAATCCGGGTTCATTTTGCTAGAAACTGCCGGAACCCCAAACATTATATTGTGCAGCTGAGGCCCAGAACGGTGCTTTGGTTTGCAGCAAGATTTGGTCTTTGAATGAATGATTGATGGACCTTCTTGTCCTCCTGGAAGGTAAGCGGCCGATTCTGAAGGATACATTTGATACATTCGGAGATTAGAAGAGGTTGGCGGAGTCGGCCGCGAGGAACGATTGTTCTTCTGTGTGCAGGAGGAGATCCAGACGTATGTTCAGGGAGAGCCGCAAAGAACGAAACGGAGATCCACCAGGAACCGGCGTCTGGCGGGTTTGCTTCTTTGGACGGAACCTTTCTAAAACAACAACATCCGACGGGAAGATCTGTTATTGACTTCAAGTCCAAACGATGCCGGAAGGGAAATGCTTTGTGTTTATAAAATCATGATTGGGGCCCTGGGCTCTATGAGAGGGTGACAGCTGCTGCGGCTGGACGGGGCTGCATGGTGCACCTAGCGTTCCAAATGTTTATGGCAGTGCGCACCAATGGACCCAATGGCTGGATCGCAAGAGGTCAACATGTAAGTACTCCTAGGCGCTCCGTCCAATCCCGTCCCAGATGTCAGCCTCCTATAGACTTTTACAGGCTGCCAGGGCTTGACGGTACACTTTGCCTACACCTAAATGTTCCCCACCTACCCGCACCTAACTGTGCCCACCAACCTAAACGTACCCGCCCCACCCGCACCTAACTGTGCCCACCCACCCGCACCTAACGTGCCCGACCCACCCGCACCTAAAACTGTACCCACCTAAACCTACACCTAAACGTGCCCGACCCACCCGCACCTAACTGTGCCCACCGACCTAAACTTACCCGCACCTAAACATGCCTGCTCGCCCACACCTAAATGTGCCCACCCACCCGCACCTAACTGTGCCCACCCGCACCTAACTGTGCCCACCAACCTGCACCTAAACGTGCCTGACCCACCCGCACCTAAACATGCCTGACCCACCCGCACCTAAACATGCCTGACCACCTGCACCTAAACATGCCTGACCCACCTGCACCTAAACGTACCCGACCCACCCGCACCTAAACGTGCCCACCGACCTACACCTAAACGTGCCTGACCCACCTGCACCTAAACATGCCTGACCCACCCGCACCTAAACGTGCCTGACCCACCTGCACCTAAACATGCCTGACCCCACCCGCACCTAAACGTGCCCACCGACCTACACCTAAACATGCCTGACCCACCCACACCTAAACATGCCTGACCCACCTGCACCTAAACATGCCTGACCCACCCTGCACCTAAACATGCCTGACCCACCGCACCTAAACATGCCTGACCCACCCACACCTAAACATGCCTGACCCACCCACACCTAAAATATGCCCGACCCACCCCGCACCTAAATGTACCCGACCCCACCCGCACCTAACTGTGCCCACCAACCTACACCTAAACGTGCCTGACCCACCCGCACCTAAACATGCCTGACCCACCCGCACCTAAACATGCCTGACCCACCCGCACCTAAATGTACCCGACCCACCCGCACCTAAACATGCCCCACCGACCTACACCTAAACATGCCTGACCACCCACACCTAAATGTACCCGACCCACCCACACCTAAACATGCCCGACCCACCCGCACCTAAACGTGCCCACCACCGACCTACACCTAAACATGCCTGACCCACCCACACCTAAATGTACCCGACCCACCCGCACCTAAACATGCCTGACCCACCCGCACCTAAACATGCCTGACCCACCCACACCTAAATGTACCCGACCCACCCGCACCTAACTGTGCCCACCGACCTACACCTAAACGTGCCCGCCCCACCCGCACCTAAACATGCCTGACCCACCCGCACCTAAACATGCCTGACCCACCGCACCTAAACGTGCCTGACCCACCCGCACCTAAATGTACCCGACCCACCCGCACCTAAACATGCCCACCGACCTACACCTAAACATGCCTGACCCACCCGCACCTAAATGTACCTGACCCACCCACACCTAACTGTACCCGACCCACCCACACCTAACTGTGCCCACCGACCTACACCTAAACGTGCCTGACCCACCCACACCTAAATGTACCCGACCCACCCACACCTAACTGTGCCAACCAACCTACACCTAAACACATGCCTGTACCCGACCCACCCCACCTAAAATGTAACCAACCTTCACCCTAACATGCCTGACCCACCTAACTGTGCCAACCAACCTAACACCTAACTCCATGCCTGACCCCCGCAGAAACTGTGCCCCGACCTACCTAAATGTACCCGACCCACCCACACCTAAATGTATCCCGACCCACCCGCACCTAAACGTGCCCTGAACCCACCCACACCTAAACATACCGACCCACCCGCACCTAACTGTGCCCCACCACCTACACCTAAACCGTGCCGACCCACCCGCACCTAAACATGCCTGACCCACCCACACCTAAATGTACCGACCCACCCGCACCTAACTGTGCCCCACTGCCGACCACCACACCTAAACATGCCCGCCCCACACCTATAACATGCCTGACCCACCCACACCTAAACAGTGCCTGACCCACCCCCACCTAAAATGCCCGACACCTCACCTAATGCAAGAACCGACCCACCCACCTACGAGGTGCCCACCTAAAACATGTAAACCCGACCCCAACACCCGCACCTAAACATGCCCGACCCACCCACTTAACCTAAATGACCCACCCACACCTAAATATGGCCGACCACCACAGCTTAAATGTACCGACCCCACCCACACCTAACTGTGCCCACCAACCTACACCTAAACCCATGCCCGACCCACCCGCACCTAAACATGCCTGACCCCAACCCACACCTAAATGTACCCGACCCCCCCACAACCTAACACTTAAATGTGCCTGACCACCCAACCCTACACCTAAAACATGCCCTGTACCCACCACACCCACCACCCACACCTAAATAAACATGCCCGACCCACCCACACCTAACTGTGCCCACCGACCTACACCTAAAAACCACGCACCTAAAACATGCCGAGACCCACCCGCACCCACCCCGCACCTTGAAAACATGCCTGACACCACCCCACCGCGCACCTAACTGTGCCTGATGTACCCACACCCGCACCTAATGTACCCGTCCCAAACCTACCCTAAACCCGACACCTTAACACCTAACTCCTACCCCACCCGCACCTAAATGTGCCGACCACACCGCACCTAAACATGCCTGACCCACACACCGCACCTCGCTAAAACCAGAACATTTTCCGTGTTCACCAAATGCAAGATATCGCCCTGACCCACCCACACCTAAACATGCTGACCCACCCACACCTAAACTGTGAACCCACCGCCATGGACTAAACCACCCGCACCTAACTGTGCCCAACCGACCTACACCTAAACGTGCCCGCACACCCACCCAGCACCTAAACAATGCCTGACCCACCCACACCTTACTGTGCCTGACCCACCCAGCACCTAAATGTACCCGACCCAACCTACAACTAAACATGCCCGACCCACCCGCCACCTAAACGTGCCTGACCCACCCGCACACCTAACTGTACCCGACCCACCCCGCACCTAAACATGCCCGACCCCACCGCACCTAAACGTGCCCACGCGACCTAACACTAAACATGCCTGACCCACCACACCTAAAATATGCCTGACCCACCCACACCTAAATGTACCTGACCCACCCGCACCTAAACACTGTGCCCACCGACGACCAAAGCACCTAAACGTGCCGCCCCGGAACCTGCGCCACCTAAACATGCCTGACCACCCACACCTAACTCGGTGCCTGACGACCCACCCGCACCTAAATGTACCCGACCCACCCGCACCTAAACATGCCCACCACCCACCTACAGTGCCACGACCTACGCTTAAACATGCCCGCCCCACCCTACACCTAAACATGGGCGAGGGGGTGATCTGACCCTGCACCGATTGTGAAGGGGCGGGGCACCTAAATGTGCCACCGACCCACCCGCACCTAAACATGCCTGACCCACCCGCACCTAACTGTGCCTGACCCACCCGTCCACCTAAACGTGGGTGACCGACCCGCACCTAAACTGTGCCTGAACCCACCCGCACCTAAACGTCCCGACCCACCCGCACCTAACGTGTGCCCACCGACCTAGCACCTAAAAGATAGCGCCCCGACCCACCCGCACCTAAACTGTGCCCACCGACCAACACCTAAACATCCCGACCACCCGCACCTAAACTGCCTGACCCCACCGAACCTACACACCTAAAGGCTGTGCCTGACACACCCACCACCTTACTGTGCCTGACCACAACCTGTACCTAAGTTGAACCACCCAACACGCTAAAGGTGGTGGCCAGAGCCCCCTGTACTGGGGAATGAGCGATCCAAGTGTGTGTGGGACCTACTCGCCAGGCCCGTCC